TTCTTATTTTGTTAGGGTTTAATCAATGCAAACATTGCTAACTGCTGTATTGAACCCATGGTTCACAGTATCGATACACCTTTGTGTATTGGCAGAGGTGTATCGGTACTTATAACGATACTCCCCCTATTTTTTTATTTCTTTGGTTTTCAATTTCATTTTTAAATATATATATATATATATATTATTTAAAAAATGGGTCCCTGAAAACACCTGTAAACAGGTATCGAGACCCCAAAGATACAATACAATACACCCGATATGGGGTGTATCATATCGAAATTTTGATCCTTGATTTAACCCTCAAAAATTTCAAAACCTGAACCTATAAGCAAGTGAAGAACTTAAAATTTTGTCTAATCAACACATTTTCTTCTTCCGCGTCTTCTTCTTCTTCTATCTTTTCTTTTCTTCTTTCCTATAACAAAAGTAGGGGTTCAGCCCCTATATTTTTTGAATTTTCTTTACTTTGTTCTTTTTCTTCTCATAAAATGTTGATTTCTAGATTTAAACATGAATTTATACTTTTCTTATGAAAATTATGAATAATTATTAAGGAAAGATGGTTATGGAACCTAGGGAACTACCCTAGGATCTAGGGTTTTACTTAAAAAAATCCATCGCCTAGGCGCCCGCCTAGGCGACTAGGCGACAAGGCGCCCCCCTGTCGCCTAGCCTCGCCTTGGCGCCTTGAAAACTATGACATGAAGGCCAGTGTATCTCTTACCTACAATATGCTGATGATACACTAATTTTCATAGATGCTTCAGCAAATCAAGTTCTGAACCTAAGAGCTATTTTAGCCAACTTTGAGATGCTGACTGGTCTAAAGGTGAATTTAGAAAAAAAGTTTACTGATAGGAGTTGGGAACCTAAGTGTTGAGAAAGTGAGGCAATATGCAGAGGTGCTGGAATGTAAGGCAACAACAATTAATATCTAGGGACTTTTAATAGAAAGGACGGAGAGGAGGCTAGGTAGATGGGAAGCCAAGTATCTATCTTTGGGTGGGAGAATTCATAAAGAGTGTTCTGTCTAGCTTACCAACATATTACCTTTCTCTCCTAAGAGTTCCCAAAGAAGTGACTTTGAAAATTGAGAAAATTCAGAGGGACTTTCTATAGGAAGGGGTGGGCAGGGGGCAAAGTGTTTCATCTGATCAAGTGGGAAAAAGGTCTGTAGATCAAAGGAGGGGGGGTTTAGGGTTGAGAAGGGTAAAATTTGTTGAAGATTAATTAGTTTTATGATGTTTTTCTGAGTAGATGTTTTATGTTAGTTGTTAGGTAGGAGGTGGGGACCACAGTAGTTATGTGAGTCCAAATTTTATTATGTTTTTTGAGTGTTATATATGCTGTTTTATGTTTTGCCGTCCTATAAGGGCATAGTTCTCTTTGTATTGTTCTATTATTTTAGTATAAATAATAAGTGAAGGGAGCGGCCAGATTATTGCTCTCTTTTCTTTCAACTTCTCTTCTCTTCTTCTCCTTCTCTCTTCAAGAAACTACTTTCTTTCATATTTTTTTAATTCAGCAGATTTCTACTAAATTAATTAACAAAACACTTTTACGGAAATGGCTGTGGAGATTTGGGCAAGAAGGAGAGAGGGAGGCATTATGGAGGAGGGTGGTGGTTGGAAAATTTGGAGTGGTGAGGTTCGGGTGGGAATCAAGGGAGGTAAGAAGTTCCTATGGGGTAAGTGTGTGGAAGGGAATCATGAGTTTTAATCAAGAGTTCAGAAGTTAAGTTTAAAGTGGGGGTAGGTCATAGGGTAAGGTTTTGGGAAGATGAGTGGCTTGGGGTGGGAAAACTGTGTGAGGTGTGTCCTAGCCTATACAAGCTGACAGATCAACAAGTATTTTTGTGAACCACCACTGGGATTGAATCTTTATATTACCATCCACTTCCTCTAGCCATTTGCACCTAGACTTCTGTTTCCAACAAATCTCTTCCTTCGTTCAGATCTCTTCCAAATCCTTTATTCTATCCATCTCCTCAATTCTTGATGTTAGATCCACTTTGATTTCTTCTACTTTTCCAAATTGCTCTTTGTTCCAAACTTAATTCTTTCCTTTAATCTTTTCAGCTTCCTTGCAAAACTAATTACCTTTTCTCTTCCCAAAGGATTAGATTCTCCCCACAGAAACCTTCAGTCTCTCCTTTAAAGAAGGACCTTCAAACCACATGTTCTCAAACCTGAAAGGCGAAGGGCCTCCACCAGGGATTTCTTCCTCAATACAAATGGGACAGTGATCCACAGAAACCTTCAGTCTCTCCTTTAAAGAAGGATCTTCAAACCACATGTTCTCAAACCTGAAAGGCGAAGGGCCTCCGCCAGGGATTTCTTCCTCAATACAAATGGGACAGTGATCAGATGTCACTCTAGGCAAATCTCTTGAGACTAGTTCCTCACAAATCTTCCCACTCATGAGACAGGAGAAATCTATCCAACTTTGAACAAGTAAAGGGGGGGGGACTGAAAGCTTGACTAGGTAGGGGAAGCTCTCTCAACTCAAGGGAGTCAACAAGATCATTGAATTTTCTCATGCTTGTAGTGATAAGGGTTTGGGTTATTTGTTTCCCCCGAGAATCTTATAACATTGGAATCACCCCCTAAACACCAAGAACCTTCCCATAATCCCCTGGCAGCATACAACTCCTCCCAAAACAAAGCCCTATTTCCATACGAATTAGGGCCTTAAGCATTTGTCAGAACCCATTCTCTTCCATCTGAGGCTCTTTTGATTTTTTGGGAGACTGAAAATTGTCCTTTGAGCTCCTCTAGACAATCCATTTCTTCATTCCTCCAGATGGTAAGAATTCCCTCTGAGGCCCCCTAGGAAGGTGCAAAGGACCAGCTAAGACCCCTAACGCCCAGATACTCTTGATCCATTTTCTATCAATTATTGGTAATTTGGTTTCTTGGATCATTACCAGGTCTGGTTTTTCTTTTCTGAAAATATTCCTGTTCAATCTTCTCTTTTTTGCACTTCCTAACCCTCTCATGTTCCAACTTATTATTTTCATTTCAATGGCTTAAGAGTCCCTGAATTCCTGTCATCAGATTTACTCCCCTTTCCTTCTTTCCTTCTTTTTGTTATCCTCCTTCTCATAATTTATTCCGCATTTCAGCTTTTCAATTGTGCCCATTTTTCTTTTCTTCTGTTTACTATTCTTCCTCAGATACACTGTTGTTTTCCCACCCTTCTTTCCTTTCTTGTTCTACATTCATCTCTCCTTCCTTTACTTCACCCAGGTCTAGCTTAGGTTTCTGAACTTGGGTAGCATGGCGATCTAACCCAGGACCCACCGATTCTTTCTCTACTTCTAGGGCTCCTAGGTTCTCTAGAATTAAGTTCAGAACTCTTCCCCCTTCCTCTTCTACACTGCTATCCAGGAGCTTCTCACCCCCTAAATCATTGGCACTTGGAATCAAGGTTCAAAATATCAAGCTGTATCAGCCCTTTCTCTACCTCTTCTACCGGCGTATTGGTCTATGTCAGCCCTCCTTGCTTTTTTTTTTTCTTTGTGAACCTGGTTCAGAGGGGTCGGTCTAAGGCGCTTCTACCCCCTGAACCGGGTTAAACGCCAAAACACCCCCTTAGGGGCTTATCGAGAGGCTCCAGATACGATACGTATTGGCTGATACGGTCCGGTACGTATCAAAATTTCGAACCTTACTTGGAATATAAGCATTCTGGGAGGGTAATGCTTCGATGGTCCTGCAAGGATGGAGGGAAAGGTTAGAATAGTAGTAGTTTACACTATACAAGAACTGTGCGAAGCACCCCTAGATATAGGTTAGCAGTTTATCTATATGAGTCCCCCTGTTCCAAGATTTTGGGGTTAGATAAGTTTGATTTAAAATGCAGATATCCACACCCAAACACGTGTAACATAAAAATGGGTTTTATAGAGAAGCAATAGGCTGTTTTGACAGTTCTCCTTTGATGATATTTGGAAGAATAGGTTTTTAGTGCCATCTAGTTCTGTGTAGAAGATTAAAACAAGGTCGGTGTGGACACCTCTTGAAGGTTTTCTGAAATTAAACTTTGATAGGAGCAGTCAAGGCAACCCAGGTCCTTCAGGAATTGGAGGAGTCATAAGAAATAAGAAAGGGATCATACTAGCACTTTATTCAGGACTGGTGGGCATTGGAGACTCTTTAAAGGCTGAACTGTTTGCAGTTTCACAAGGTGTTCAGATTGCAAAGGACATGAGCTTGGAGAACCTGGTGATTGAAGGGAACTCCAAGGTGGTGGTAGGTTGGCTAAGAGATCCAGACTCAGTGGTTTGGTGTTATAGAAATCAAATGAAGAAGTTCCAGTGAGAAGAGGAAGTTTAAGTGGTTGACTAAGGACATTGATGTTTAATGTATTTGGGTAAAGAGAAGTGCCAACTCCTTTGCCAACAGTTTAGCTAGGCAAGGGGTGCATAGGGATTCTATTTTCTGGGCTCATTTGTAACTGTTTTTTCTCTTCTGATTCCTAGGGGAGCTAAGATATTTTATCTCCCCTCCTTTGTATTTTAATCTCTTATTAATGAAGTGCTTCCTGTTATTGATAAAAAAATGAAGAAGTTCCAGTGGTTAACACAGCAGATGAATCTAAGTATACAGTGAGTGGGGAGGGAGGCTAATGCATTGGCTGATTCATTAGCTAAGCAAGGGGTAATTAGGGATCAGTTGTATTGGGTGCAATTGTAATTACTGTGCTAGTTCTGATTTAATAGTGAGGCTGCATTTCGTGCCTCCCTTTGGGATGCTTGTAACAGTGCCTATCATTATTGATTTCAATGAAATTTAATGATCTTTTACTTATAAAAAAGGATGTTTTGTTGTTAGTAAATCCATAACAAGATTAATAGGTTTTAATGGTGCTTTTCTTTTTTAAGTGTTCCCTTAATTGCTCATCTCTCTCCCTCCCTCCCTCCCTCCCTCATTTTATTTCTGATATCTCCTGAAAATTGCTGGTCTTATATATGTATTTTTCTCCTCTGCTACTAGAAACTTTGTCGATGAAGGGGTTAACATTGAATTGCATGGACCGCAAAGCAGAAGCATATGAGCTTGTACGGCGTGGACTAAAGGTTGGAATACCCTATGGTTTTTAGTAAGCTATATAGTTCCTTTTTATCAAGGTTGTAACTTAATTTCTTAAAACAATACCCACAGCTTTTCTTTTTTAATGCAGAATGATCTTAAAAGTCATGTTTGCTGGCACGTTTATGGTCTCTTATATCGATCGGACAGGGAATACAGGGAGGCAATAAAATGCTACAGAAATGCTTTGAGGATTGATGCAGACAATATTGAAATACTTCGTGACCTCTCTCTCTTGCAGGTTGTTATATGCTTTGCAACTTCTATATGTAAATGGTCTTGTAAAATTATTCTTTTTTTTGAGTGGTAAATTTAACTTTATTAATTGTGGAAAATGAATGTTWTGTACAAGGGGGTTTATTTTGTTAGGCTGGCTCTACAGTGTACACCACTTAACGCCCATTTTACTTCTCAGGTTTACTAATAACTTTCATCTGTTATCCTACATTTGTTCCCTATTAGCCCCCTGCTTGGCAAATGGCAAGTGTACCAGCTATATGATTTGCTGATCTATGTGCCCATGTGATCACAACCCTTTCCCCTCTTATAAAATTATTCATCAAAAAATGGTCTTGTAAAATCTACAAAGTGGAAATGAATACAATTGCACTTAGTTTTGTCAATAGATGCATGTGGTTGTCTATATCATGGTCAAGATAATTAAACTGATGAAACAATAAAAGCTATGAGGCAAGGTTCTCTTTTTGAAATCTCAACCCAACTTAGCCTTAATCTTTACTATTTACGTCTGTATCATGAATCCTGTCCTGCCATTGTGTGCTACCAAGGTATGATAATAAAAACTTCCTGATTGTTATTGATGGAAAAAGCTTATTCAAATCATCAATAAAAACTACAAGGTGTTGCTTTACTGTAAGACATTGAAATGATAAACACTACCAATAAAAAAGGAGTCAGTTGCTCATAATTCAGGGTCTCTTGTGCGTCTCTCTAGCTAATCCTTTACTCAATTGAGTATTATTAGGTCGGTATGGATGTCCTAAGGTGGTAAAAATTTGCTTCTTCATGAAAGAAGTGCTAAAATGAACAGTTTTTTTGATGAATATGATAAGTGAACATTGCAGTCCATCTTGATAATATCAACCGGGATATGCTTATATCCCCATCTGCTTCTTTTTATTCATCTTAAATATGATATTGCAGTGGCATTATTTACACATGGTTTATAGGGAGTTCATATTTATTTATTTCTTTTATAAAGCTTCTTCTTGCTCTATGTGGCAGCGGGTTTTGGACAGATTTGAGAAGAGGTTGGCATCTTGGAGGAGCAGATATTTGCCATTGAGGTGGGGTATGGTCACTCTCATTAAGAGTGCTCTAACCTGTTTGCCAGTTCATTTCTTTTCAGTTCTTAAAATTCCAACAAGAGTGGCTAATAAGTTGGAGAGTATTCAGTGAGATTTCCTTTGGAAAGGAGGGGGAGGGGGAAGAAAAAAAATTCAATTGGATAAGCTGGGTATAAGGAGAACTTAGGGAGCTAAATAGAGTGTTGCTTGGGAAGTGGTTATGGAGATTTGGGAAGGAGAGGCATCATTGGAGGATGGAGGATGTTGGTTGACTCATCCACTATTGGGGACACTACTCACCCCCAATGGACCCTCCAAATGTTAGGTGCATTAAGTTATTCTTGATGGAAGTTCAATTTGTAATCTGGGACCTTTAGGAGTTGGTTTGTTTTTAGATATCATGGTGGGAATGTATTTGCACTCTATTTTGGACTGGCTGGCCATGGAAATTCAATAAGAGTGGAATTCTTAGCAGTCAAGCAAGGAATGGAGATAGCCAAATCACCTAATCTTAACTATGGGCAAGGTTGTTTGAAACCTTTGGAATTCAATGTTGGAAGCCTTAAATGGATGGTACATACCTGGGCTAAGCAAAAAAGGAAAGTGATCTGGGGAATTATGCCTTTGGAGCTAGTTTGGACAGTGTGGCTGGAAATAAATTGCAGAGTTTTTGAATGGTGTGGAAAATCAGAAGATGAAAATATCAAGGCTCTTTGAGGTAGACTATATTCTTGGGTTGCAGTGCATATTCTGTTTAGAAACACACCTTAGAGATCTTTGTTTTTTTGTTTATGCTATTCTTTTTTTTGTAACTACCAAAGAGCAAATTGAAGTTGAGGCTGATAGTCAGCTCATGGGTGTATATGCCTTTTCTCAATTTAATTTATTTTCTCTCTCTTTCTCAAAAAAAAAAAGGAAATGCTAAATCTTAAAGACTTAAATGATTGAAGGGGACTTAAAAGTGATGTTAGGATGGTTGAACAAGAACAAATAGGTGCTATGGATTCACAGACAAAGTATAAGGGAAATAAGGAAACGAGCAAGGGAATTGAATGCCACCTTTCAATGGTTGCAAATTGATAAAAAAAAAGAATAACTATCAATGGGTACAAAAGAAGCAAATGGCTTATCAGATACCTTGGCTAAACAAGATTGGTTAATAGGGAATACCTATTTTGGGCTGCTTTGTAATGAACAATTAAAATGGGATAGGTGACATCCATCCTATATAATTGGTTTTCAAGAAACTTTGTTCACAATATTTCTGTTAATGAATTAATAAAGAATCTTAGTTAATATTCAAACAAAAAAAGGTTTAAGAAAGAGAAAGATGCATTAAGGAGAAGAGTGGTGATTAGTAAATATGGGGTGGTGAGATTTGAATGGGACACTAGAGTGGTTTCTTCCCCAATGGTGTTTGTGTTTGGAGGAATTATAAGTTCTAAGCAGAATTTGCTAAATTTTCTACCTTTATGGTGGGGAAGGTAAATAGGGTAAGGTTTTGGGAGGATGAATGGTGTGGAGATGTTAAACTTTGTCAGATTTGTCCTTGATTGTATAATTAATTTCCAAGGTGATTCAATGCTTTGAAAAAAGGGTAACCAGATTGTGTTTGTCCTGTTTTTAGAAGACTACTATTGGATAAAGACCTTGGAGTGTGTGCTGTACTATTTTCAATGTTGGAAGCACAGAAGATGAATACCAAACCTGACATGAGATGTATAAAGAGTGCAAGGATGATAGGAATTTCAGTAAAATCCTTTGTGAAGCTGTAGCTAGGGAGCAGGTATAAAGTTCTTTTTTAGGTGGGGTAGAACCTATGGGGCAGCCCAATACCTCCAGGAGTGGAGTATTTTCATGCCTGTTGGCGATAGATAGTGTTCTGATGTTGGACCATTTAAAGTCAAGAGGCTTTCCATTTCCTAGCATTTGTGTTTTGTGCATTGGTAATGAGGAGGATGAGCTGAATTGCCTCTTCACCCTAGCTTTCCTTACCAATTGCAAAGATAAGAGGGTGTGGTTTATGAATTGATTGATATTTTTTCTTGTAAATCCTTCTTCAAAGCCCTAAACAAATCTCCTCCACTCCCCTGCCTGCCTTTTCCTCCACATGATGTTTGGGATGGGCCCACTTCACTGAAAATCAAGCCTTTCTTATGGGAGGCTGCTTGCAAGATAATCAACACATATGAAAACCTCTAAAAGGAAAAATGAAATCCTGGTGCCTCCCTCATGTGTGTTCTTTGCATAAAATATGGGGAAAGTGTTGACTATTTATTACTATCTTGTCTATATTCTAAGGCATGAATTCATTTCTTTTACCTCTTTGGATTGAATTGGCCCACCTTTAAAACATCATGGAGCTATTCAACACTCAACTTGTGGCCCATAAAATCCAAAAGGGGGAAAGTACTGTGGTCATGCATTGGAGCAGCAAGGCTTCATATGGAGCCTTTGGCATGAAAGAAATGCAAGAATCTTTGACTGAAGACAGCTCATTGGGTGTTGAAAAAAAGGGAATTTAAAGGGGATGGACTGCTGTGGCAAATTTATCCAAAGAAAAACTACTGTCACCACCAGTTGGATACCTTGGGAGATGGGGAGATTAAAATTAAATTGTGATGGATAATCTCTTGGCACTATGGGGCCATCAGAAATTTTGGGGGGGGGGGGTCAGTGAGAGATAATAGTGGCAACATTCTTATGAGCTTCACAGGATTGATTGTGGTTGGTAGTCTTTGAGAGATGGGATCCACACACTCCTTCAAGGTCTGAAAATAGCTTACTCAGTAGGGATTGCAGAGTTGTGATGAGTTGGAAAACAAAGTGAAGGCCCCTGGGCACCTTGTCAGGAGATTAGAGAAGCATTATGGTTGACATCCAATTTGAATTGCTTGTTCAAGTGAATACCCCAGTCAACCAATACTTTTGCTGGTGCTCTTGCAAGAGATGGAGTAACCAGAGCCATATTTTTTGGGGAGTTGTAGGACCTGGGCATGATGTACTTCCAGAATCCCCAATACAACTGATCCCTTGGTAACCCTTGCTCTTCTATTGTCCATCCTCTTTTGATATATGCCCCTTATCTTCCAATTTGTTTACCTCATTAATGATGTTTAGCAAGGCAACTAGAGAAACTTATGAGGGACTTCCTTTGGAAGCCCCTTATCTTCCGATTAGTCCAACTCCTTAATTCATCTGCCAATTTGTTGGTAGCCTGTGGAGCCCATTTCACTTTTGCTTGTATCTCCTCTGTTATTCTTTGTAGCTCTCTTATAACATATCTGTAATTCCAGGCTACCTTCTGATTGCCCCTTAGCCACCCAATAATTGTTCTTGAGTCTCCTTCAATTTCTACTTCATGTTTAGTGCCTTTGTGCTCCTTACACCGGTAAGTTCTGCCCATAGTAAATGTGATACTGATTGATCACAAGTTTTTAAAATCTCTACAATTTTTTTTTTTGATCAATGCCAAAGCACTATAATTTCTTCTCTTTGAATTTTCATTGTGGGGTGCTGGTGGATAGGTTTGTTATACAGGGGGTAGTCTATCTCTGATAGTGATGGAACCATGGGATTTGATCCTAGGTCTCTGCTACAACCAGGAGGAGACTTTACCAGTGATTTAGCTGTCGCCTTCTTATTATGATTTTTCTTGCTACATAGTACATACAAGTTACAAGAAAGCTTGTGTCTTCCATTGTATGGTTTATTACTTTTTCTTTTGAAATTTAATTGTGCCTTTAGTAATTTTTTGTTTTAACTTTTTTTTTATCTGTTATTTAATCTTTTGCTAATGCCTTCTGTTATTTTACAGGCACAAATGCGGGACTTGACTGGTTTTGTTGAAACAAGACAAAAACTCCTGACCCTGAAACCAAACCATCGCATGAATTGGATAGGTTTTGCTGTTGCCCATCATTTAAACTCAAGGTATGCCTGGACCTTGCTAGATCAAGATCTTGATTATGACAAACTACTGGTGTATTTATATTATGTATACATGTATTTGTGTATTCTTGCCAACTATTGTTAGACCTAATGTAGTGAAGGGATAATCAAAGTAACTAATTAGAGATGTTTGACTCTAGTGTTTCTGTGATGTCATATACTTGTTCTGATGAAAACCGAGCTTCATTGATAGACAAATGAAAACCAGTCTTCTAGATTGGTAATAATTATGCACGGGACCTTTTGTATTAGAGATGGGAATAGAAAGTCATAATTTCTTAAATTCAATTTGGATATGATTCATTATTTTTTAAGTCAAATTAATGAGTTTCTAATTTGATGTTCATTAGTGGGTGATTTAAGGTTCTTTTCTAATTTGGCAAAATATTAGTGTTTAGAAGATCAAAAAGATCATGATTTGTAGTAGTAAGAAATGATTTAAGGGCTGATAACTTAACAATGGATATGACATATGACAGTATGGCACTGAAGAGAACAGAATGGTGATTTGTGAAACAGGATTCATGTTGCCAACCCCATATAATTGGGACAAGGCTTAGATGATGATGATATTAGTACTCAGAAATGACACTTTTCTTCGAAAATTAGATATAAAAGCATGATATAAACATATTAAACATATTAAATAGGATATCCATACATATATCTATTTCTGAGATCTTAAGAAATGGAGAATGTATCCCTGTTTGCATCCGTATCTGGTGTCATAGTCTAGCTCAGATCCCTTTATTCTTGGTAGGAAATTAAGAGTACCTTCTGTTCACAGGGAAAGGAGAGGACTTGGATCCACTAGGGGCTCAAGTAAATTATTGACAATCTAATGAAATCAGGGAAGATATGAATGGGATACTCATATGCAGGAGAAGATGAGAGAGAGAAAGGAGCAGAAAAGGGGGGGGTCTGTAATTAGATGGAAGTGGTATGTAGAAGGAAAGAATGTGGTGGACTGGGGCTGGGGAGATTGAAGGAAAAGAACTGGGCTCTGTTAGGGAAATGACTCTGGAGATTTCGAAGGGAGACAGACAAACTATGGCATAGAGTTGTAGCTAACGTTCATGGGCTTTCAGAGATGGTTGGGGTGCTGCAATATCTATCAGGGCTTCTGGTGCTTCTCCTTGGAAGGCTATCCACAAGATTCTTCGACTTTTTTGACTCATACCAGGGTTGATATCAATTTGGGAAACAAAGTTAGATTTTCCGAGGATCTATGGTTAGGAGAAGCTCCTTTAATGGATAGTCTTTTCCTTCTTTGTTTGCTCTTTCATCCTTCAAGGATAGACCTAACTCTGATTTCTTGGTTCATTTCCATTCCCAGTCTGGTAGTGGTTGGAATTTGGGTTTCCATAGAAACGTGAGGGGGTTCAGAGGTGGGCCTTGTGTCACAACTGCTTCATTTGTTGGATGGGGTTTTTTCTTGATAACAGTAAAGTGGATAGTGGTTTATGGACTAGTCAATCCTCTGGAGTTTTCACTTGTGCTTCCTTTTTTGAAGTGTTGGTTTCCCCTCCTATTCTACCTATGCATTTTCCTGTTAAAGAAGTGTGGTGTTGTCAAATCCCTCCTAGGCTGAGTGCTTTTTGTTGGGAGGTCTACCATGGTGCAATCAATACTCATGACTTATTACAAAGGAGGAGGCTTGGTTGATGCCTATTTCCAAACTGGTGTGTTTTGTGTGAATCAAATGGTGAATCTGCTCATCACCTTCTCATTTCCTGTCCTTGCTTGTTGGGAATGGTTTTTCTTTTTTGTTTGGTTGTAAGTGAAACACTCCATTTAGTTTGGATATATTGTTTGATCCCTCTACTTTCAGCTGACCAAGAAGAAGGGGAAGATTACTTTGGAAGTGCACCAGAGCTGCTGTGGTCCAGACATAGGTAAGAAAGAAACGGGGGAATTTTTGAGGAAAAAAAAGTAGAGTCTTTGATTGAAAACATAATGGTGACACATTGGCGGAAGTCAACAAAGTTGTTTTTTGACTTTACTTTTGATGATATTCTCAGACATTGGGGAACGATTGCAACATCATCTTCAGCAAAGAAGAAACAAATGAGAAGTTGGGATCCACCAGTGGATGAATTTTAAGTTGAAATTTGATGGAAGCTGTCTTGGCAATCCTGGTGCTGCTGGAATGGGGGTGATAAGAAATGGTGAAGGAAAATTGGTTTTCTTGTATTCCGGGTCTTTAGGGGAAGGAAACTCCACAGTGCAGAACTGAAGGCAGCTGTATTTGGGATCCAAAAAGCATGGGAGATAGGGATCAGGAAGTTGTTGGTTTAAGGAGATTCAAAGGTGATCATAAGTTGGCTGAGAGATCATGATAAAGTTGCATAGTACTTCAGGAATGAGATTACAAAGTTTAAAAGATTTTCAAAAGATATGCTGGTGGTTTTGCAGTGGGTCCCTAGATCAGCAAACAGATTAGATGGTCATTTTGCTACAAGGGGTCAATAGAGGGAATTGCTTTTGGGCTCATTTTGTAACTGTAAGTTGTTGTCTTAAGATCATGGGGTAGCTGGGGCTACTCATAACATTGTAAATTTTGCTTGTGTCTTAATAAAAGTTTTATTTCTGTTGCTGATCAGGGGGGGGGTCTGTAATGATTGATGACCTACAAGAGTGTTCTTGTGTAAAAATTAAATTGTGACAGAGCTGAATTTCTTATAATTTCCTTTTTTGTTTGAAGTGTAACATCACTGAATTTTATTAATTAGAAGTTGAAATAAGAGTACACCAAGATAGGAAAACCCAACTGAGGAGGCTAGCTTCGGCTAACCTCCAGTAAAGAAAAAAAATATCTTAACCAACTTGAGCCCAGTACAATTGATCCCTCATTACCCCTTGCTTTGCTAATCTGCAAACCCATTGGCAGCCCTTGGAATCCATTTCACTTGTGCTCGCAATTCCTCTATTAACCTTTTTATCTCTCTGATGATGTATCTATAATTCTAAGTCACCTTCAGTTCCTCCCTCAGCCACGCAATGACTGTTCTTGAATCTCCTGCAGTTTTGACCTTCCTCAAGTTCAATGCTTTTAGCCTTCTTAGACCTGTAAGTGCAGCCCAAGTCTCTGCCTGAATTGAGTTTTTGCACCCAAAGGACCTGAAAAAAAATTCAAAGTTGTTGCCATTTTCATCCCTGATTACTCCACCTTATGCCTGAATACCTAGGTTACCCAAGCTGCATCCATCATAGTTCAGTTTTAAATGTTCCAAGGATGGTGGAGGCCATCTTGGGTTCTAGGAATATGATTTGGATTCTTCTTTGACTTCAGAACTTGATAAGGATATTTAAAGTTCTATGTGGCCATATGGCTAGAGAACTCCAATAACTTACCTGTGGGACCTTGCTGGAGAGTTGGAGTTCCAATGGTGTTGCGTTCTTATTCCTTAAATTTGAGATGTGTTAAGTGATTGACCTTATCAATTGGTGAGTCAGGTACTTCCTGCGGTCTTGCCCTGTGAGTCTGTTACCTTTGGGTTTAATGTTGTCACACTTCTTTAGCTTCTTAATTAAAGTTTTCTTCATTATTTATGAAAAAAAAAAGATTCTTCTAGACTATTCAGTTACTGCTCCCTCTTATTAACTTTTGCCCAACTTTTAGTTCTATCAGCCAGAAGTTAAATCTCTGTACTTGTATCTATCCAAACCCCATTCTGTTGTTGGGATGTGATTTGTGAAAAGGTTGATATTGGTCATGTATTTCAAAGGATAAGGCAAGATGATCTCAYTCATGTTTGCCTAATCTGTTTACAATTAGAGGATGGGGAATTAGTGAACCATCTCTTCATAGTTCATACACTGTTTTGAGGCCAGTATTATGTGAAGGGCTATCTGGACTTGATTAATTTAAGTGGCTTTAATTTGAGGACATCTTTGATTTTATTGTGTAATGTGTGATATTGACCTTGCTTTTTATGTATATAGGAAGTAAAGTACTGAGTGAATGGATATTCAAGGACCTATTTCTTTTGATTCATGATTTTATTGATGGTTTTACCATCAGCATCAGCCATTGCAAGGTTGTGTTGTATGTTTTAGGAGCAACTTTGTGGACTTGATAACCCATGAATGGTATTCTATTTCCAGTTGTGAACTATTGTAAGATGGATATTTCTCTGTTTTTCTCCTCTTCCTCGCAATACTGTAAAACTTTGTTTAATGGCATTACATGGAGAACCTTGGCCTTGCTAATATTGAGGGTGCTTTGAAAAAGAGTGATTGTGAAATTCTATTTTGGGCACCTTTCTCTGTCTAATGGAGCCAGAATCATGTCACTTGTGTAAGGTCTTAGTCTCTCTCTAGGTTTTGATGGCATTGTGGTTGAACCATTGAAGTGCATGATGCTTCCTTTTGGTGCATGGCTCTGCTAGTACTTCTGATTAAGAGTTGGTAAATAGAGACAGAATTTCAATGGGGGTTCACTGGCCAGGTGGCGCTTTTCTAGTGTTATGATGTGCATCTGTGTGGTTTCTGTGTTTTTGATTTCTTTTTTAATTAATGTACATGCTACTGATATTAAAAAGGGTGATGATATTGCCACTCCTTGTATTATTTACTGACTTTAGTTCAGCCCACATGCAGTGAAACTTTGAAAAGATGAGCAGCTATAGCAAAGGTGAGGAGGGAATAGCATCATCCCAAGAAAAACCTAGCATTCTTCCCTCATTATGGTAGTTTTCTTAGGCATCGTTTGGATAAGCTTTGGTTTTAGAACTTTTCGAAGTCCAAAGTAGAAAGCTAATTTCCGACTTTCTACTTTGGACTTTTGGCTATGTGACTCGCTTGGTAAATTTGGCTTCTGAAACATGCTTTTCATAGCAAAAGCCCAAATTGGGTGTTTGGTAACACGAAACTACTTCTTGTCTTCATTGACAGGTGGCACCATTATATTGGTTGTAATTAAAATATAGTATTTCAGCCTATTAACCTTCTTCCTCATCAGTCCATTAAAGAAATAATAGATAAAACAATCCATTTATCCAAAGGAAAGCTTTCTTTCTCATTCAGTCCATCAAAGAAATGACAGATGAAACAGTCCATTAATCATAAGAAGATCGTTCTTTCCCATTCAGTCCATCAAAGAAATAATAGATGAAATAGTCCATTAACATTCTTCCCAATTCAGTATTCAGTTTGTCAAAAAAATAGTCCATTACAGAGAATTACATGATAAGCAAACAATTCATTTAGCATGTAGGGGGTTTAAAACATAATAGGGATATTGTTTCTGTATGAAAGGATGTAGAGTACAACTGAATGGGGAGTTTAACATACATTCGAATTGGTGTTTTAACACATATCATTATACATAGGAATGGGGTATAATAGAACACAACAGAAGCATTCAAATGGGGATTTTGTAGAACACGTAGAATACGTTAGCATGGGGGTTTCATAGAACAAATGCAAAAAGCAAGAAAGAATTATGAAGGGGGTAAAGGGTTTTAGGATGACATACTTGGGAGTGGAACTGAATGTTGGATCTGTGGAAAACTGGTTAGGGTCTTGTTGATAAGAAGAATGGACTTACCATTGAAGAGAGTCGAGAGAGACAAGAGAGTTGGGTTGCATTTCGTTCAAAAAGCTGAAAGGCCAAAGTTCTATTATTTTGACTGGGATTTCGACCATTAATTGACTTTGGCTTTGAGAAGTAGGTGCTACCAAATAAACAAAGTAACTTTTTGGCTTTTTGGACTTTTGAAAGCTGAAAGTCCAAAAGTAAAAGCTTATCCAAACAACATCTTATTATTTGTCACCCTAATAAATTAATTTCCATAAACATTTTTTTAAGAAAAAAGGAAGCAACAGGTTGATTGTTTATGGTTGCTCCTGGATTGGGGTACATCAAATTAAATTTTAGTGGAGGAATGAAATTGGAGACATTTATTTTTGGATTGTTAATGAAACTGGAGACATTGCTAAGGTACACAGGTCCATGGAGAAGGAAACTCATTGGGAGCTGAAACACTAGCTCTTTTTCAAGGTCAAGATTGCCTTTTTTCTTCCATTTATTTTCCAATTTAATTGTAAGACCATTAAGTCATTATTTCATGGTTCACTTCTACAGTTCCTGGTCTGTGGATCCTGAGGTGTTTGATTAGAGCAGAAAAGGTTTTGGAAACTAATATGAACTGCTTGTTCAATTGGCAAGGGTAGTAAGAACAGAACTGGTTTGAGGGCTCTAGGCCAAGGGTTGGAAAAGCAAGGCAATTATGTGCTTTCTAGTAGTTAATTTATGGCTATCCATGGGCTGTAGTGTTTTCTTCCTCAATCCTAATTTGTATTGAGGCTCTTATTTCTTTCAATAAAATTCTTTTCACTGTTATTGATAATGAAACGATATCAGCATATTATAATGGAGAGTCATATCTCTGTTTGCTGTATCAATGTGTGTCAGTATTTGTGTCTGGGTATCATAGCTTTTATTTTAGAAATGTGACATCAAAATATTGCATTTATTGTATGAAAAAGGAAGAAATAAAAAAAGAAAGAAATGATGAGTCCATAGGAAAGCTATAAGAGCATGCAGATATACAAGTTTTCTTATGTCAATCCATGTTTCTACTCACTACATGTTTGTTTCCTGATTTGCTCCTATATTGCTTTGTTATCTTGCTATATCATTTTGTTGATTATGGCCAATCTGATCAAAGTTTGTCTTTACTAATCATGCAAACATTCAAGCATATTCTTTCTCTCTCTCTCTATACACACTTGTATGTATTTCATATCTCAATTTGCCATTTCTTTTTTACTACCTTTTGTTCTTTACTTTTTATGTTTTCCCTTCTCTAGTGGCTCAAAGGCAATTGAAATCCTTGAAGCCTATGAAGGGACACTAGAAGATGATTATCCTCCAGATAATGAACGTTGTGAGCATGGAGAAATGCTCTTATACAAGGTTTGTACTTTACCACATGCCAGACATGCACAAACATGGTTGCATTGCCCGTTTAAACTATAGTAGGCTTGTAAATAACTTCACTCTTTTTAGTCAACTTGTTGAGAACTTGCTAAAAGCATTTTCATGATGGGACTCAATCTAGGGGAAAGATGGTTATGACCAATCACTTGTCTTACATGGAAGTTAATGTGGTGAAGGCTTTATTGCCTGGTTGTGCTATGATATGAGCCCTCCCATGAATCTGCATTTGACAGTCAAGTACCATGGGGTGGAATATGGATTCTTATGATAACTGAAATGAAGGAGAAAATGAAAGGAACAAGGAGACAATGTCTGGCCCAAGCCCTAATGCAGGTCAAAAGAAGCTCATGATGATGGGTTCAAAGCTTATAAAATCAACTTTGTAGTCCCAGCAGGCTCCAAGCCTTGAGCACGATTGGGTGTGAAGACATGACTGCATACGCCCAGTCCCATATGCATGAAATACAAGACTTTTTCATTCCTTTCTTTTCTAACATGCAAAGCTGTTATCTAGATATCCAGTTCATCCTCCGTATAAAGTTTGTTGATTCCTCATTATGAGATTTCTAGTTTGTTGATTCCTCATTCATTGTCAAACATTGAACTTCTGCAATGGTAATTCCATGGAGGTTTTATCTAACCTTTGATAGTGTTAATCACGTCCAAGTGCTTTTGCCTAATTTTCATCATTCTCCATAGATCTTTTCAGTCTTTCATGTTCCTATTTCCTTCATTTTTCTAGGCCTGAGATTTTTTTCCAGTTTTTGAAATTTTAAATTTGGTCAGTTTTTCTGATAATCCGGCTAAAGAACATTGGTGCTTGATGCCATGAGCTTGTTTTGGACTATCATTGATTGGCTTTGGTTTGTAACCAAATTTTGATATATGATGGGACAAACTTCAATTTTATGCTCAACATGCTTTTGGAAGTGAGTCTTGGTCTTATATTGTTTCTTGATATTTTTATTTTCTTATGCAGATATCTCTGTTGGAGGAATGTGGATTTCTTGAAAGGGCTCTGGAGGAATTGCACAAGAAAGAGTCTAAAATTGTGAGTGCATGTTTCATGATAGTAGTAAGGTCAAGTTGGAATTTTGGTTTTGAATGTAAGAATTTCATATATTATCTAGTTTTGTAATGTGTTTCCAGGTTGACAAATTAGCTTTGAAGGAACAGGAAGTTTCTTTGTTAGTAAAGCTTGGTTGTCTAGGGGAGGGGGAGAAAATATTTAGAGCTTTGCTCTCCATGAACCCTGACAATTACAAGTGAGCTGTTTATCTTTCTTGTTTATTTCCTTCATTTTTGTAGGTATACATTCCAATTGTGCCTTGGAAGCGGCTTAGCTATGATGATGATTGGGTTAAGAATGGGATGCTTTATGAAAAATTACAAGTTGATGACCTTTTACATACTACACGCATAAATAGAATTTGTTCTTCTTCAACTTGAGATGGTATGGAATGTCTCAGCAAGCTAGCTATGATCTGCAACATTGTTTTATAACCATATTGATTTTGGTCTTAAAATGAAAATTGGTGATTCTCAGCAAACTATTGAGGTACATTTTGTTTCACATTAGGGTATGATTTCATCAGCAGTTACCAGGATATGACATTCTTGAAGATTTAACACCCCATGACATGGCATGACATTTGTGGTATGTCTTGGTACAATCCACTCTGGCATCAGCAATAGAGTAGGTTTGGCATGTTTTCCAATGATGTCAGGTCTCAAACAAAACATAACATGCTACATGACTCTTTTACATGATAAATGGGCAGCCCAATGCACGAGGCTCCTGCCAATGCAGGGTCTGGGGATGGACAGATGCACACAACCTTACCCCTGTACATACAGAGAGTTTGATTCCAAGATTTGAACCCTGCACATGATATCATAATTATTTAATAATTTGTTAATATGTGTGCTGTTAGATGGTTGTAAATTTGTATATGTTTAAGCATTCTATTTAAGTAACTTGCATTTGAAGTATTATAAGTTAAAGAGTTACAACAAGCAAATTGAGGCCATGGTTGTCAAGGTGCTAAGGCTGGGTGACTGTGGAGTGCCTTGTCAACTAGGTGATTAGGCACCTACCTAGGTGATATTTTTTATGTAAAAAAACCTTGGTCATCAACTTGCTCCTAGTTTTTGTAACAACTAGAAAACATTAGAACATTGTGACATTAAAGAGTTTTGTGCCAAAAGTAAAATTAAAACAATATTACATAGTGGATGGAAAACTAGAGGATGGCTCTCGATTCTGTTAATGCAAGAGGGAAATGCAGGGAGTGGTTTGCGTGTTAAATCAAAGAACAGGAGAAAACAAACATGTGGGTCTTATTCTGAAGGCAACAGAGATATAGAGATTAAAAATGCGAGTGCGAGTGTTTTAACCGTGAAGAAAAAGAAAAATGTGAAGGGCCGGAACCCTTATTCTGGTCAGAATTAGAAAGGCAGCTAAGGGATTTCACAGAGGATTTAAAGTTAAAAGAGCAAAAGGCGGAAAATTCCATTTTATGGCTAAGTTGAAAATTAGTCTTTTATGATGGCTTTCTGCACCCTCTTACCTTATTTACACAATATGGTATGATATGGTTTAGTTGCTCTAGACCTAAGGCTATTAAGTATTCCATATGGAAACACTAATGGTCCTTTTGGTTGCCAAGAAAGAATGAGATGGGAAAGGATGGGATGAGAAGGGAAAATTTATTTTCTCATTTTGGCATTCAGGTGTTTGATTGCTGAGAAAACTTTTTGCCTGATTTTTTATATTTTGACAAAAATACCCTTTAAGGATACCCAAGATTATAAAAATACCCTTATTCCCTAAATGTTAGGAAAACTAAGTTTTTCATTTGATTTATTATACTGTTCATCGTCTTCCTTTGAACTCAAACCAGTGGCATGGACGAGGTGAGTTCCAATCTCCCCTCATTTCTCTCTCTTTCTCCTCTTTTTTTTCCGATTTATTATACTGTTCAACGTCTTCCTCCCTTCGAACTGAAAACTAGTGGCATCGACGAGGTGAGTTCCAATCTCCCCTCATCTCTCTCTCTCTCCTCTTTTTCCTCCTATCCCTCTTTCTTTTTTCCCTCTTCTTCTTCATCTTTTCTTCGCTTGCCTCTGCTACTTGAACCAGTAACGATAGAAAGACCTCTGTCCCTCCCGTTTTCCTTGATTTCTATTTTTATTTCAGCCACCTCCATCTCTGATGTCATTACTCTGCCGGATCTCTCTCTTCTACAACACCGCTGCACTGTTTCATATCCCTCCCTCCGTTCACATCTTCAACACTACTACTCCGTCCTTCTCCAACGCCATTGCATTGTTCATATCCCTCCTTCTGTTCACATCTCCAACACTGCTACTCCGTCTCTGACGTTGTTACTCCACCGGACCTCTCTCCATCTCTGACGATGCCACTACTATTTATTCAATCAGCTTCAAACAAGTCATGGTATTTTTTGGAAGTGGTTTCCTTTCTCACTGGGGTCGCACCGTTTCAGTGCAACCCCACGTTCCAAGTTTTGGGAAACCGCATCTCACTATTTCTTGGTCCGTCTCACAAAACCAATGAATGAAAATGGGAATCTGAGGAGAACATTCCCATTTTCTCTTCTCGGTTGCACCAACCAAACAGACTGTAAAGCAGTGCACAACGTGATCCAAAAAGAATGTCTAATCACCTAGTTTCAGTGCACAATCAGTACATTTCTTTATATCATAAAATGTCATTTTTTTAATCAAACTCATGACATTTTATGATATAAAGAAATGTACTGATTGTAGAGATTATAGATACAGTTAAATATGTACAACTGAGCCAGTCCATTGCTGCCTCCCCTCTCTGGTTCTAACAGGGTCTAATCCTTTTATATTGCTCAGTTACTTTAATGGGCCCCCCTCCCCCAGGTTAACCCCTTGTTGGGCTACAGAATCATCAAGAGAAAGATCAAGGTATTCTAATAGACTGCTTCCGAGGTATCATGCATATGTCTTGCTTGTTGCTGCCTTAATTTGGTATCATAAGAGGCAAGGTCCTTTAGGTTCTCCATTCATTCATCTGTGTGCTAATCTTCTTCTATAAGCAGATTCCTCAATCCAATTGTTCTTGCAAGTGTAAGTCCTTGTCTCCTTTGTGATCTTGAGAGCTGTACTTGAAGTAGAGGAGAGGAGAAGAACACCACTGATATGCTGTGAATATCGAACTGAACTGCTCAGTTGGCAGTACTATTATTTATATTATGATGTAGTACAATGATACAGGAAGTTACTGGAATGCCCCTGATTAGTGATGGGACACCCAGACAACTTAAAACAATAAACAGGATTAGGCCCAGTACAGGACAACTAAAACTTAAGTATAGGCTAATAAGAACTCTTATCAGCCGAATACTCATACATACGAAGACTTCAATCCAACATCCTTGAAGCACTGTCTGATGTTCCATCCTTGTCTAATTTCCAATACCTGGTTCTCCTGGCTTTCCAATGTTGCGTCCATCGAAGTTTTATTTTAATTCTGTTTTGGGGTGGGGTAGACAGTGCAATATTGCCTCTAGTTCTGCTGGTGGATGATTCTGGCACCACTAGTCATCCTCTTAAAAATTTATCTGTTGGAAAGCAAGTAAAATTCTCTTTTGTCTTGAAAGCAAAAAATCCCATCAAGGAGCAATATGCTTCAGCCACAAGTATTAACAAGCAAGTAAAAAAGAGGTCGTTGAAGAGGAAGAAAGAATGATTTCTACTATAGCTGTGGGCAGTGGTAGAAATTAGAGAAAACCCAACTTTTTTCAGAAAATCAGAAATTTAACAATAGAGTAAGTGAACTCTAAAATTTCAATTACAAAAACTCTTGTCTACTGACAAAAACATGAGGGCTTGGATCTCCATTCACAAACTCCAAATTTGACTAAAAAATCCAAAGCAAGTTCTTAGTTTTACTGCTCTAAAACTAAGACACCCATAGTTAACCCATTAAGGGCATTAGGGAACTCAAATGGGGGCCCTAACTCCTAAAACCGGTGTTGTCAGACTTGGAGCAGAGAGAACCAGAAAACTGATTGGTCGCAGTTTTACCAGTTAACTGGGAGGTTGGATTGTTCAGCCACGAAAACAGTTAAATTATTGATGAAGCAATAATTTGTGGCATGAAGTAGGAAGGTTAGCTCAAAGGAATAAAGCTCTCTTAGGGAAGTGGTTGTGGAGGTGGCCTAGAGAAAGGGAGAGATTGTGGCATGAAGTGATAGCTAGTATACATGGCAGACGGGAAAATGGTTAGGATGCGGGTGTATCACGTCAAGCTACGTTGGCATCTCCTTGGAAAGCAATTTAGGGTGTCCTCCCTTAGTTTCTCAACTTGGTCAGGTATGATGTCAACTCTGGTGACTGTTTTATTTTGGGAAGATACTTAATTCCCGGCTCTCTATTCTCTTTTCCTTTACAAGGAAAAAACTGTTTCTCATTTTCTTCCTTCTATTACTTCACCCTCTTCCTTAAGCTGGGACTTTGGTTTTAGGAGAGGTTTGAGGGATGTTGAACTTAGTAGTGCTTTAGAATTGTTGTCTCTTCTTGGCAGTGTCTTTCTGGACCCTCTTCGCTCGGATGTGAGACTATGGTCCCCTCATCCAAAAGGTTTTTTCACTTGTGCTTCCTTTTTTAAGTCCCTTTGCCCTTCCATGGGACAGTTGGGTTTCCCTGCTAAGGAGATTTGGTTCARACCTGTTCCTCCTAAAATTATAATATTCTGCTGGGAGGTGTTTTATAGAAAGATCAATACTCTGGATTGCTTGCAGAAGAAAAGGTCTTTCATGTGCTTGTCCCCTAACTGGTGTGTACTTTGCAGGGCTAGTGGTGAGGATTGCTCCCACTTATTTGTATCTTGTTCCTTTTTTAGTGCTATTTGGAGTTGGATCTTTTCTTTGTTTGGATGCAGGTGGAATCTGTCCTCAGAATTAAGTCAACTGTTCGATCCTTCTTGTTTTGTGTGGCCTACAAAAAGAAGGAAAAACGATGTGGAGATGTATTAGAGTAGCAGCCTTGTGGACAATTTGGGAAGAAGCTTACAAACTGTTGAGGATTGTATATTGACTAGAGCCATTCATTGGCCAAGAACTTTGGACTTCTTTCATACGTTTTCCTTTGATGACATTTGGAGTAACTGGAAGGCGGTAGCCACTAGTCATACGAGGAGGGACAAGGCAGCTGCAGTGTGGAAGCCTCCGCCTGAAGGTAGGGCTAAGCTGAATTTTGATGGTAGTAGCCAAGGAAACCCAGGCCCTTCGGGGATAGGAGGGGTGCTGAGAGATAGAGAGGGCAACATCCTAGCTTTGTTTTCAGGCCCTGTGGGAWTAGGAGACTCAAATAGAGCAGAGATCTTAGTGGCTGTACAAGGCATCCAGATTGCTGAACAGTTAGGAGTTCAACACTTGATGGTTGAAGGAGACTCTAAAATTGTTGTGGGATGGCTGACAAAGCCAGCTTCAGCTGTGTGGCGATATAGAGATTTATTGAGGAAAATCAATTGTCTCACAAGAAATATGACAGTTACCTCTCTTTGGGTAGAAAGATCAGCAAATTCCTTAGTGGATGGACTAGCTAAGCAAGGGGTTTCAAGGGATCATTTGTTTTGGGCTGCTATGTAATTTTATTTCTGTTTATTTCTGCTTATCCGGTTCTTAGTTGATATAATACTTTGTTAGAAGAGGGAACAGCTCGTGCTTCTTCATGGGTTTCCTGTATTGCCTTATATTCTGATTTAATAAATTATCTTCATTCATAAAAAAAAATAAGTTGACATCTCTGTGATCTCAAAATCCTTATTAAGTCATTGAGAATCTGTGTTTTGCATGTCTGAATGTTATGCATGTAGATGTTGTTGAAACTATTACCTCTGGATCTAGGCATGGCTTCTTGATAATCATACCTTATGGAAAAATATGTAAAAGTACTGATACCCAGGGAAAAAGGAATATGATGACTTGGCCATTTCTCTATATTTTTCCTCCTGTATAAGTTGGCTCTGGGCCCTGGTTCACTCCACGACCATACAGTTCCTCCAAAGACAACAGAACTTGGCCTTTGAACACTCTAAATGAATGTTCATGAGTAAATTAATATTTATTTTCTCCGATGTAGCCATCAGTTTTCACATGCTTTATTCCCTCCATAACACAATATACAAATAGGCATCAAACCCAACCCAACCTAGATCCTTAATTGCTGATAAAAGATAACTTGCTGAAAGCTCGTCCTCTTCTTTCCTCTCTTTATTCCTGTCTGATTTGACTCTTCTTCTAGCATTTTTCTTAAAGGAAATAGATTGATTGACTTCAGTACCAAAGGTTCACTTACTGCCTTCCCTACCAATCTTTTCCCTTCCATGCATCACAACTTTTGGTGTTGAGCACTTCTTGTCTAAATTCTGTCTGACAATTTGCTCATGTTGTGTCCTTGTTTATCTAGATGGTGGTAATTATTATGAGGCTCTTGTTCTAAGAATACTCAATCTTCTGTTTTTGATAGGTACTAAGAAGTCAAATCATATATTTGTGTTATTTGCACTTGAATATGATTTGTGTCTGTCATATGTTTACTTAATTTTAGAAGGTCAAATGATATGTACCCAGGCCTATGTTTCAAGATTGCAGTGTCTAACTAATTTTATCATTTGGAACTTACTCAATCCAGATATTATGAAGGTCTGCAGAAATGTTTAGGGCTATATTCAGAACATGGCCTGTATTCCGCTGATGACATTGATAAGCTAGATGCCTTCTACAAGTCACTTAGGCAGCAATACACTTGGTCATCTGCTGTTAAGGTAAGGAATTTGTGCCCAAATTTTCTACCTTTTCCAGTTCTTTTTGTTACTGTTAAGTAACGAAAAAATTAACGACAAGAACTCTACTCTCTCTCTCTCTCTTTATATATAGATACCATATTTTCTTATGAACAGTGTTATCTCTAATATATTGTGCTAATGCCTGACTAAAATCTTCATGAACTTGTTATGCAAAACAGTGTTTCTATTAGCCAGATCCTGAGCAAGATGTTGAGCCATTGACTGACATGGACTCACTAAGGCAGCCTTTTTACACCTTTGTTGGGTGCTAATGGGCAAAAAATTATAGTTCTCCCCGTATATCCACCTCCAAGGAATCTCAATTGCTTGTATACAAAAAGGTGGTCTTGAAAATAAATCCTTTTCCACTAAATACCTCCTTATGGTCTATGTTAGGGATTACTGGGAAGAGGTATTATTGTTTTTCTTAATGAAATATGTGAATATATATATACATATATATATATATTGTATATGATATATATATATATATATATATATATTTGTTCATTTATAAGGACTTCAATTATTGAAATTGGGAAAGAAGGCCCTTACTCATGGATGTTTTCAAAAGATATTGTGTGGTAGTTATAGTGGGTATGCTCATGGCTATGATAAGCCTGATTCTTGAGTGGTAATGCCCATGAAGACATAGAGAAGGCAGGTGAAACTACTGCAATCTATTTGCTTTGCATTCTGGAATCCATATATTGTCTGGAGTTGGATCCTAGTAAGAATACAAGTCCTTGATTCTGATTCTACATGCAGAACCTATAATCAATTCTATAATATTTCTCGATCATACAATCTTTATTCCAATTTGTATGGGATTTGATAGTGTTGGATTTTGGTAAAGTCAAACCAGATTTGAGAATGTTGTCCTAATGGCTTCTAGGCAAAGCTGAATTCGAGAATATTAATTCTGAATATCTTTTTGAAGAATCAAGAAAAATTTTCATTAAAAGAAAAAGATTACATCTTAACACCCTTGGTTGTCTAAATGACACACCAAATACATCAAATACATTCTCAAAGCATTAAATTGAAAAGGATTCTGCATTACAAGGTTGTAAGTCAAGGGAATTCCAGACCAACTAATCGGCTTTGAAGACTTGATCAAAATCTGGGAGCTGAGAACCCATTCTGAGATCAGACTGGACACTGTAGCTACCATGTATTCTATATTGTTTGACCTGTTCACGAAAACTCTTCTGTTTCTCTCCCTCCAAATAGACCAACATACTGCAAAAGGGACACAAATCCAAATAATCCTGGCCTTCTTACTGCCTCTGAGCTTTGGCCACAATGAGAATATTTCTGCTGGAGTTGATGGATGGAAACCAGTCATTCAAATAGGAAAGAGAAGAACTTCCTAATGAAGCTTGCTATGCTGCATGAGAACAAATGGAAGACTGTTTCTTCCTCCTGATTGCATAAATAACACCAGCTGGCCAGATGTAATCCCCTAGATTCCAGACGATCAGAGGTGAGGATGCTATCATGTGCCACCAACCAGGCAAAGGGTTAGGGGGTATTGGGTTACCCCATACTCCTTTTATCTGATCTGAACCCCTTTCTTCTCTTATTAATCCTTTGTAGAATGACTTAAATGTGAATCTGCCTTCCTTGCATTCTTTCCACCAGAGACCATCTTCTAAATCTCTAGAAATGCTGGTCCCTTCTAATTTTTCCAGAAGCAGTATACACTCTTCCACTTCTTGGTCTAATAGAGGCCTTCTGAACTTTGGATTCCTGATTAATTGCTCCCCTCTCCACTCATAACATTGGGCTATTGAGACTTGTTGTTCTGTTAACTTGTATAATTTTGGGCACACCTCACTTTAAACTTGTTCAAGCTTCTTAATTCTTGATTGAAACTCATGATTCCTCTCCAGACACTCACCCCATAGGAGCTCCTCACTTCCCTTGGTTGTTGGTTCCCACCCGAATCATATCACACTATACTTCCCAACCACCACCCTCCTCCATAAAGCCTTCCTCTCTCCCCCTTGCCCAAACTTCCACAGCCATTTCCCTATTGTTTATTAACTTTACCCTTTTCAGTCCCAAACCTCCCCCCTCCCTTGGCTTGCACATCTTTTCCCACTTGACCAAGTGATATTTTTTGGCTCTCCCAGCCCTTCCCAATAGAAATCTCTTTGAAGTGCGATTCTCCCACCCAAAGATAGGTACTTTGGCCTTCCATCTGTCCAATCTTTTCTCTACTCTTTCTAATGGTGGCCTCCAAATGCTAGTTGCTGCTGTCTTTGACCCCATTGGAAGCCCTAAAATATATAAACGGAAGCTCTCCTACTCTGCACTCCAGCACCCCTGCAAACTGATCCATCTCCCCCCTACTTATCTCTCCTACTCCTATCAGTAGACTCTTCTCTAGATTCACTTTCAGTCCAGTCAGCAACTTGAAGTTAGCTAGAATTGCTCTGAGATTCGGGACTTGGTTCACTGAGGCATCTAAAAAGATTAAGGTGTCATCAGCATACTGTAGGTGGGATATACAAGGTCCTTCAGATCCAACCTTAAAGCCTTCAATCAAACCCCTTTGAACTCCTTTTTTCATGATCAAATTTAGTGCTTCCATCACTAACACAAACAGCAAAGGGGAGATTGGATCTCCTTGTCTTAATCCTCTAGAGGCTTGGAAGAACTCTGAGGATACCCCGTTGATAAGCAAATAAAAGGATGCAGATGAGATACACCCATACATCCAGCCCCTCCAAGTTTCCCCAAATCCCATCAGCCCAGGATCTGCCTTCCTTCTACAAAAGCCATCTGAGATCCCCCCCCTCCTGGATCACCATCTTCAGCCTGCTTGCCAGCACTCTTGCCAAGAGCTTGTAAGGGCTACTTATTAAACTTGTTGGCCTGAAATCATTTATGTGCACTGCTCCACTCTTTTTCTGTAATTAAAGCTATAAATGCTGCATTTTAGTTTTCCAGAACTCTTTGTACAACTGCATAAAATCTTCTTGCAAAAAGTACCAGCAGCTTTTGATGAAGTTGAAATTGAATCCATCTGGGCCTGGTCACCATTTGTCTTCTTCAGTGCCTCCCTTACCTCTCTGCTACTTCAAGAGCCCTCCCTAACCAGATTGCTGAACTGTTGGTTAGCTGACTTGGCTCTTAATCTCCCAATGACACCTAGCTCCAATTTCTCCCCATATACAACATCTTGTAATATTTTTTTTATCAATAATGGCAAATTTTATTAAAACATTGAAGCTTTAAATACAAAAGAGGGGGAGGTAAACTGTCTTAACTTCCCCAACAGCATAAAAAGAAACAATTTTAGAAATGATCCGGAAAAAAGGAATCCCTATTCACCCCTTGCTTGGCCAGCCCATCAGTAAGCGAATTAGCAGTTCTCTTCACCCAACTGCATTTAACCTCAATGTCCCAAGTCAGCCACTTAAGTTTTTTATTTTCATTACTGTAATTCCATATACCCGAGCTGTCTTCCCTAAGCCATCTCACCACTACCTCCAAGTCACCCTCAATAACTAGTCTTTTGATGTTCAACTCCCTTGCTCTTTGGGCACCTTCCAGGGCCGCAAGGATCTCAGTCCTAAGAGAGTCTCCTTCCTCAATAGGGCCTGAGAACATGGCTAGAATAAGCCTCTCCTCATTCCTGAAAACTCTCCCAATACCAGACAGCCCTGGGTTCCTAAAGCTGCTGCCATCAAAGTTTAGTTTTATAAACCCAGTGGGAGGAGGGGTCCAAGAGGGATTAGAAACCCTTTTGACCTTGGCAGAGTTGGTGGTCTCCTTCTAATTCCTCGGCAAGTCATCAAAGGAGAAGTCTGGAAATAAGTCTTAAGATTTCAGCCAGTATACCACTCTTAAGTGTTTCAATTCCAATAAGTTTTCAATGGTTCTCTCCTTTTCTAAGAAATTTGTAAATTTCTTTCTTCCCATAAAAACCAACAAACTGTTGCCCTAATATATCACCACATATTCCTCCCTCTTTTCAAAGGCCAGCTAAAGTAAGAGGGAAGAAAAGGCTTTGCAAATTTGAGAGGGGGGGGGGGAGGGTCCAACTACACCCAAGGAGGGAGAATACCCATTCCCAAATAGTTCTAGAAACCAGGCAAGAAACCAATAAATGATAACCAGTTTCCCCTTCAACTTTGTAGAGAATACACCCATGCAAGGATAAACAAGAATTGTGTCTCTTTCTTTGAAGCAGGTCACCTGTGTTAATTCTTTCCAGGAATGTCTCCTAACAAAAACTGCCAACCCGAGGAGGAATGGGCTTGCTCCAAACCTCTTTAATAGGGAAAGACTGTCCACTAGAGGCAATAGGCATGAAAAAATTGAGTTTTTCTTCCCCATGTCTCTACCACTTCCTCCTCCACCTTCACCCTGGTGATCATGTTTTTTCTTCTTCTTCCATTTGCAAAGGCATAAAAAAATTGAGTGTTCTTATCCCTTTCTTTTAAGCACAAAGCTCTTGAATTCTGTCTCCACCTTACTTCATCCCTTAAGATTAGACCTTAGCACTAAGGGCTTGTGGTTTGATGTTTGAAGAGCCAAATGCTGTTGTATTACTTCTCCCACATGTTCTACCCAGTCTCCCAAGAAAAGGAATCTGTCTAGTCTTCTTAAAATGGCTGGAATTTGACCATTTGACTAAGTAAATCTACCTCCGTTTAGAGGTGGATCTATTAGTTCATTATTGCTGATGAATTCCTCAAACCTTATCATCCTACATATATCCTGCCCCCCCCCCCTCATTTTATTTCTCCTCACTATACTAAAATCCCCTCCCACACACCACGACCCAACCCACTTGTGGCTCAAATCCCCATGTTCCTCCCAAATCCATTTCTCCTCCTCTTCCTCTTTAGCGAATAGTCAATAGGTTCCTGAATTCTCCTGCAACCAAGATCCAACTTGTTTAAGCGTTGTGCTTTTGTAATTTGAAAACTCTATTACCGGATGGCGTTGTTCCCCTCTCCCAATCTCTTTCCCCCTTTCTTTTGAAAAAGAAATTCTTCTTTGTCCTTGAGCTCATTGATCTCCATTTGTTCCTTTTCTTGGCTTTCCCTCTCATCCCCACCATCCATTTGTAATCTTTTCTTTAATGCCTTTTCTAGCTCAACGTCTTCTTCCTCTTCCCTTCGTCTCTTTAGCGTCTCCTTATTCTTTGACTTCTCCTCTGTATCACCCAGTGTTTTAAAAGTGCAAGGCGCAAGGGTCAATTTGCACTTGAGGAGCATGGCAGGGTGCACACCTTTTTAAGCTAGGCATAAAAATTAAAAAAAAAGGCTAAAAAATAAAAAAAATAAAAAAATGCAAAATATAAAAAAATTATTAAACATAATATCAATAAAAATATAAACATTAATTTTAAAATAAATGCTTTAAAAAACCTATTATCTAATATTAAAATACATAAATATAACATGTAAAGCATATTTAAATGAGAATTTAAAATAAAATCAAATATATAAAACATTTTCAAGCATATAAAACCCACAATCTTGCTTTTTTTTTTCAATTGCATTACTTTAAGTAGCTAATGTGATGTAAAATATATTACATTCTTGATTCTACGAGCCACCTTTGTACCATGCCTCGCGAGGCAAGCACAAACAATTCCACATTAGGTCTTAAATTCTTAGTTCTCACACAAAAAAAAATAATGATTTTATAGTTTTAATTGCTTTTTAGAAGACATTTATTAGGATGAATGAATAAACAACCTTACCAAATAGGGGGTCTTGAAACACCTGTAAACAGGTGTATTGGGACCCAAAAGATATGATACGATTGTATTGAAATTTTGAACCTTGATCCTTTTCACCATCAAGAATATTTGGCAAGTCTAGCAGCAAGGGGATCTCAGAGTCTCTTAACCCTCTTCTGAGGCCCAAGTCACAACCAATCCCATTATTTGAACTTGAAGGAACAACGAAGTTTGATACATGTTCTGCTTTTAAAGAAGATAAAGAAAATAAGGAAGGAAATTGATCTTTCAAAGGGGTTGAGCCCACCCAAGTGCGCTCCCAAAATTTAACATATTTGCCCAAATAGACGTCAAACCTGATAATCTAGCAGCAACACTGAGTCTCTGACATCCTACCAATGTCCAATTGGCCATGTATACTAAGCACCACCTTGTGCCACAATTAGGGGTGGATTCGAGCCGAGCCGAGCCGAATAGTGCCAGGCTTGAGCTTGGCTCGGGACTATTTTACAAGGCTCGAGCTCGAGCTCGGTTCGAGCCAAAACCTTGAGCTCGAGCTCGGCTTGGCTCGGCTCGGCCCGTTTTATATTTTATATATATATATATATATTCGAGCTGGCTCGCGAGCCGAGCTCGAGCAGCTCGTGAAAAGCTCGACTTGTTGCCACACCTAGCCACAATTAATCTCTCTCCATTCGAAATCTCCACAACCACTTTCCCAAAAGTGCAACATTCCTCAAGTCCATGTTTTCCACGTCCAAATCACCACCTTGAGATTTGCTTTTGCACTCCATCTACCATCTAATCAATGATCCTTTTTAGTCCCTCTCCCTCATTATCTTCTCAATTTCCTTGCTCATGTTTTGAGGTATCTTGAAGGCTGATAAATGTAGACAGGGAGGCTAGACAAGGTGCACTGTATCGAAGTTATTCTTCTCCCAAAGAGATATACCCTCTTTTCCACATAGTTAATCTCCTTGAATACCCCTCTATCACTGGGTTCCAAAAAGAATGATCCCTATGATTAACTCCAAGTGGGCAAGTGGTAAGCCTATATATTTTGCTTAGTTTTTTATGAGGTTTCAATCTGTGAAGCAAGTTTGAATGTTCTGCATCATTTTTAATGTTGAGAATGACTATAAAATACATAGTTACATACATATGTTGGTGTTTTGCAATATTTTTTGAAGGTAAAAATATGTTTATTTAAATACATAGTTACATACATGTGTGTGTCTGAGTGTTCTGCATCTTGGTACACCATATGGTTATTGGATTTACAGCAATGTGTATTGGACTTTATTTATTTGTTTTCTTCTCAGAGAATACCACTTGATTTTCTAGAAGGTGAAAATTTCCGAGAAGCAGCAGATAATTATATCAGGCCTCTTTTAATTAAGGTAATGGTTATGGTTGTTTACATCTAAATGATTGCCTACTGTTTGAGGGTCTTCACATACCTTAATATTATTTTTTATGTAAATTTCTTTCATTGTATTTGGATATACTTTGAGGCCATGCTTACATAGATTCCTCTTGGTACTCTGCATTTAGGGAGTTCCTTCATTGTTCTCTGATCTTTGTCCTTTATATGATCATCCAGGCAAGGTTAGTCTAATTTCTTATTTTCAGTATGCAATGGAAAATTTGGAGATATTCTTTTGAGTTTGTGAAGGCTGAAGTTGTTTGGTTGTCTTGTAGGATATTTATTTCAGTTGTTAATGTATTTTTTGTATTTTACTTTGCTTTTACAGGCAGACATTCTGGAGAAGTTGATTCTTGAGTTGGAACATTCAATTAGAAAGACTGGAACATATCCAGGGAGGTAACATGAAATCTTTAACTTCCAAATGATCAATTTCTGGAAGGGGGAGGGGGAACTTTTTTTCTGTGCATATCTATTATTTAGGGGCCACCATAGTTGTTTACTGAGCCTGTACTAAGCAACATAGGTATGTGTTTCCAAGAAACATATATAAATGCATTCTGTGTTCTCTAGAAGTCAGCAGGAACTAAGAATTTGGCAAAAATTGTCTTAGTTATTTGCAATAGGCTACCAACAAAAGACTCATTTTCTTTTTTATTTTTTTTTTCATTTTACCATTTAATTTTGGACATAAATCTTTTTTCATTGTTACTGTAAATCTTTTTTTCATTGGTCATAAATGCATTTGGCAAAGTCTGTTTATGCAAAAGGGCATGCAATGAGAATATGAGATACAATAATTTTTTAGGGGCTGTTGCAGCACCCTTTCTGATGTGCACATTGAAAAGTGAAGAAATTGAGTTGTCAGTTGTCACATCCTTGTTGCAGCAAAACTTTTAATAATAAAAGTGAAACAACTTAAATGCCACATCAAAGTTGCCTCCACCAAACAGGTTTCTGGCGGAAATGTTGCATAAATTTTGGGGCATCGTCAAACTCTTTGTTAAGAAAACCAGAGTCTAAATATTTGATTACTTTTCCTTTTCCTCCTCTTTCTTCTTTCTCTCCTTTTTTCTACTTCATCATCATATTATCGATTTTGTTAAAAATTATCAAAACATATTTCTGATGCATATGATTTCTTTTATCAGTTAAAATAAAAGAAAATATGAGTTTATATGAAAAATGGTATACAAACAGCAATGTGCTAGCCCCCCTCCCCCTGTAGTGAGAATGGACCGAATGGGCCTTAGTGTTTTTTTTTATTAATTTCTTCTAAGTAGTTTTTAAGGTTATGGACCTTAGTTATGTTTTTTTTTGTTTTCTTTAATTAATTTTTTAGTATTGGCTGCCCCATTAAGGGCATCCAGGTAATTGTACTTAATTTTAGAATTAAGTTAATAAAAGAGAGCAAGGAGGCTAGGGAGAGAGGTTCGAACTCTTCTTTTCTCTCTTCCCTTCTCTTCTTCTTCCACAACCTACTGCTGAAACCTCTTTCTTCTCCTTGCTCTTCATTTCTTTCTTCCTTTTCTATATTTTCTAAATTACTGCCGGTGTATTTCTAAACTTGATATCAAAGAGGGCTCTCACTTTTAACTTCTTTCTCTTTTCTTTGCCTATACACAAAATGTATGGAGAACTGATCAGTTGATCAATCAGGAACTTATGCAGCCTAGTTAGGAGGGTTTTTGGAGAGTTTTTGTAGAGGTTTTCATCCTTAGTTGAAGCCCAAGGAAAGTTCTTGGAGATTTTTCTCAAAAACCCTAGAAAACTGGAGAAATCTTGTTATAGGTCGTAGAGACAGTTTGAACCAAGCACTTGGGGATCAGGGGTAAGCCTTTAGATTTCTATTAAGGGCGGTTTTGGTTGGGTTGAGTTTTGGAACCTCAGGTAAGAGCGGTTGTTCTTTGCTTATAACAGTAAACCTAGCCTAGTAAAACCCTAATTTGATTTTCGTTTACATCCGTTCACTCAATGGAGCAAATTGGAGGAGAGACTAAATATTTCGCAGATTTCGAGTTTGGACATGGGGGGTCAGTGGAGAATCTTTTTGGGGCTATGACCACTGTGAAGTTAGACGAGACCAATAATTTAGCTTGGTCTCAATCTATTAAGATACATGTGTGCAGTAGATGAAAATTGGGTTACATTACTAGGAGCAAGAAGAAACTGAGGAGGATGATCCTACCTATATGAAAGGTGGATGCAAGAAAGCTACACAATAGTGGGTTGGTTTGTGACTTCTATGCAACCACACATTGGTCGGCATTACTTGTGGATGAAAACTGCAAAAGTGTGGGATAGTGTCATGGAGACCTATTCCCAAAAGCTTAATGTTGCTCGGGCCTACAAATTGACGCATGATGTAAATAATCTGAGACAGGCGGAGAAGCCCTTAGCTGTCTACTTCTTTATGCTGAAATCTCTTTGACAAGAGATTGATATGATGTAGGGGTGTCGATTGGATTGGATTTGGTCCAATCTGATCCAGTCCAACGTGAGTCCATTACAATGGATCAGGTCCAATCCAATCCAATGGATAATTTGAACCGATCCAATTCAATGTTCGGACCATCCAATTTGTTCAAATTCATTTTAATTTGGATTGTTTTCAACCCAAACCTGGTCCATTGACACCTATATTCTTATCTTATATCAATGGACTGGATATTTGCTTAATCTAACCAAATTGAATATAAATTTATTACGAATGGACCAGGCCCAATCCAATCTAATGAATATTATGGACTAGATTGGTCCAATCCAGCGTCTTTTTGGTCTGTCCAATCCATCCAAATTGATTTTGGACTGGACGGGGTCCAATCCAAAATCGGTCCATTGACACCCTTAATCTGATGGAGACTGTTGTTTTGGGTTGCACAAAGGATGGAAAAACATATAGAAAGTTGGTGGAGAGAAATCGGGTCTTTGAGTTCTTCATTAGACTCAACTCATAGTATGATATTGTGAGGCAAAATGTCTAAGCAAAGGATGAGGTGACTTTGTCTCAGGCGTATGCTATGGTGAGCAGTGAGGAGATTAGAAGACATGTTTAGTYTGGTGAGTCGTAGGTTGATCACTATGCCAATGTTGGGGTGAAGCCAAAGGTTAACATTGGGAATAAAGATGTTATCTGTGAATATTGCAAGAAGCCTAAACACACTAAAGACACTTGTTGGAAGCTGCATCAGAGCTCATTCCTGCCAGGCTCAAGAAAGAAAATGGTGGAAAAAGGTTTGAAATTGAGAAAGGTGGAATTGCAAATGTAGCCACCTCACAAGGTGAACAAGAACATGGTGGAGAGAAGTTAGTGGGAGAACAACTTGCAATCGCCAAGGCTGAGTATGAGAAGTATGGCCGAATAATCAGTCATTTGGAGTCCACTGCTATAGCTCCTTCAGAGATTGTTCCTTCCTCTACATATGCTCACTCAGGTATTTGTGTCACTACACATCATACTTTTGTCTCAAGTACTCATAAAACTCTTGGATAATTGATTATGGTGCTTTCGACCATATTACCAGTGTTTCACAATTATTCACCTCTTACCAACTCCTTTTTGGTTGAGATAAGATATCCCTTGTTGATGGCTCTCTTACCCCTATTACGGAAAAGGGAGACATTAAGACCTCTAATTGCCCTGACCCTATCATCTATTCTTCATGTACCTAAGCTTAATACCAATTGCTTTCATTAGTAATTTGACTAAATCACTAAATTGTAGTGTGACCTTTTTCCCTTCATATTGTGTTTTTCAAGACATAAAATCTTAGAAGGTGATTGGGAGTGGTCATGAGGCGAATGGGATCTATTTGGCATGCCTGAGCAGAGCCAAGTACAACCTAAGAGAACTGCATTTGTTTCAAAGTCCACTAGTCGTAATTATGTTATGTCAGTCGTTTGGGTCACTTGTCGTTTTCTTCATTGAGTTAGTTGTTTCCAAAGTTATTTAAAAGAATCAGTCTATCATGTCTACATTGTGAGTCCTGTGAGTTTTCAAAGCATTGTAAGAACACTTACCCTTCAAGTAATAAAAGATCGACTATTCCTTTCAATATCGTGTCTACATTGTGAGTCCTGTGAGTTTTCAAAGCATTGTAAGAACACTTACCCTTCAAGTAATAAAAGATCGACTTTTCCTTTCAATATTGTTCACTCTGATGTGTGGGGGCCTTACCATTTACCATGTATGTATGGGTAGCTATCGATATTTCATCCTGTTTATTGATGATTTTTCACGATATACTTGGATTTACCTTATGCACTTTCATACTGAAGTGCCTAAACTTGTGCAACAATTCCATGAATACATACTCAGTTTAACACTTATATCAAATTATTCCAATCAGACAATGCTAAGGAATATTTTGAGAAGGACCTTACCTCCTATTTTGAGATGTTTGGGGTTGTTCATCAGAGTTCTTGTACCCGCACTCCACAACAAAATGGAGTAGAGAGAAAAAACAAACATATTATGGAAGTTGCAAGGAGCATCATTTTTGCTACCCATGTTCTTGTAAAGTTCTGGGGTGATGCAGTTTTAACAACTACCTACCTTATTAACCGTATGCCTTCATGAATCTTGTGGTTAAAATCTCTTTTTGGAGTCTTCGTTCCTGGTGTTGAGATTTTCTCAATTCCTTTATGGGTTTTTGGTTGCACTTGTTATGTCCACATTCCTAGTTCTAAGAGACATAAGTTTAACCCCAAGGCCTAGGAGTGTATCTTCCTTGGTTATGCCTCCACACAGAAAGAGTATTGTTGTTTTGATCCCATTAGTGGCACCCGGTTTGTTTCCATGGATGCCACCTTTGCAGAGTCGGTTCCTTATTATAATCATCCTTTTAAGGGGGAGAGACCTCTTGAGTTGTTTTCTTCATCCCTTCCTTTTCCAACTCTAGTTGGGTCTTGTGTTGAGCCCTCCATAATTACCCTCATTCCTGTGGAGGGATCCTCTCTGTTGAGGTCTTCCATTTTTGCTCCAACCCCTCCTACTAGTTCTCCGGTTTTTACCACTCATCCTATTCTCTAGAGGTGGTACCAATGGCAAAGGCTAAGGCAAACACAGGTTAATCCCACACCTCTAGTTGAGTCTCAAGTACTTCCAATTACTAAAGAGAGGACATGTCCATCACCTCTTCCACTAGCACCTCATTTCCAAACCTTGACCTACCCATTGCTTTGAGAAAAGGTAGGAGGAAATGTATGGTTCATTGTATTTCCAAACACCTTTCAGAAGCCTTAGCCACATCAGAATGGAAGGATATTGTTGACTTGCCAGTTGGGAAGGAACCTGTTGGGTGCAAGTGGGTTTTCACTATCAAGCATCATGCAGATAGGTCAAGCGAAAGGTATAAGGCTTGTCTTGTCGCTAAGGGATATACCTAGGTATATGGGAT